AGGACAAAGGAAGAAACAGAGTTCCTGCCAGGAAGTGACAAAGTGCTGGGTGCCATTCATTCTCTATTAGTAAGGAGTCATGGGAATGCCTTTTACTTCGTGTGAGTCTCACAAAATCAGGTTCTGCCAGTATAAACCTAAAAATTCTACTGTCTATAGAAAAAGAAAAAGAAGCCCACTCAGGGTTTCATGGCCTGCCAATCTTGTGGATGGTATGCTTATTCTCTCAAATGTTACTATTCTTTTTTCCTAAGTGCTCTTTGATGTTCCGATCAGGCCCCAGCATGATAATGTACAACTTGGGCAGGAAGATGCAGCCCAGTAAGCCAATGCCAGAGGCTAAGATGGAGAGGATCTTCACAGCCACCATGTATTTGCCCTTGGTGCTCAGGTAGTGGGCATGAAGGACACCCGCACACTGCAGAAGACCAACATACTGAAGATGATCGGCTTGGCTTCATTGAAGGTATCAGGCAACTTCCTGGCAAAGAAAGTGATGCTGAAGCTGATGAAGGCCAAAAGACCCATGTAACCCAGGACAAGGTAGAACATGAGTGCTGAGCCTTCATTGCATTGAACTATGAGCACATCAACCTGGGAATGCATGTTAAACTCTGGGAAGGGTGGAGAAGTAGTCAACCACACAACACAGATGACAACTTGAATGAGTGGGCATAAAAATATCACGGACACTGCCAGTCTCTTCCCTATCCATTTCCTCATGCTGTTTCCAGGCTTGGTGGCCATGAAAAACATCACCACTGTAATGGTTTTTGCTAACACACAAGCAATGGCAATGGAGAAGACGATGCCAAACATGGTTTGCCTGAGAAGGCAGGTCACCTTCCCAGGCCTCCCAATGAAGAGGAAGGAGCAGAGGCAGCAGAGCAGCAGGGAGGCAAGCAGGGTGCACGTGATGCTCTAGTTGTTGGCCTTGATGACGGGGGTGTCCCAGTGCAGGCTGAAGATCCCGGTCACAACATCTGTGATCGCGGAAAGAAGAAGAGCTAAGGAGGTTAGAGCTACTCCCAAGGGCTCTATGTAGGATAGGTAGGTTATCTCCTTGGCAATACAGTGGTCGTGGTTACTTGGGTTGACTTCAAGGGTTACTTGGGGTTGACTTCAACTGCCCTTCTATCAGCAGGCTAAGATCTTTTTATTTAAGGTAGGCTTTTGGTGAATCAACAGGTCTGTTGAATTGGATACTGTTTTCACTGACTGCTGTGTTTTTGTAGTTAATGTATTTCTTTAAATGTGGTTTTAATCAAATTTGATTTTTGATTTTAAGCTATGTTTAGTGCCACCCTTTCTTGGCACATTATGAGCATACAAACTCAGATCAGATCAAATCCAGTCAACCAATTATTCAATATTTATATTTTTTGTTGATCCTATGTTCTGTATGTCATCTATTGAGATGTACATGTAAGGCTTATAATAAACCATTAAATAAATAGATCTTGGGCAAGTTCAGCATATTGTGCTTCACCATCAATATTTAATCCTGTTGAACACCAGCATCAGGAAGGCGCTTATCAAACAATGCTGATACTACAGGAGATAAAACAATAAAGTCCACTCCCACCTGCTTAAACTTGTGATTCCACACAATGGCACTTCCATTGATGGAGAACCCATCCTCTGCAGGAACCGTGGGATGTACCTTTCCAACTTGGACTCTCTGAAATGATTCACTGGGGAAGGTGACCAAATTGATTAGATCATATCCACCAGACAGATCCCCATTGCCATCAAAGACAATTTCCTCTCCTGCACTATTATTGAATTGGATCCGTCTCAGAAAAGAGTGAAGCTGGAATAGAGGATACTTTTTTTTAACTTTTCATAGTAAGCATAAACCACCCTTCATGCATACAAGTACCAGGATGGCAAACAATGGGAAACTGGAGATGTTCTTTCTGTGGCATTTGACAAGTAACAAGTAGAGTGTTTCCAAGTTAAGCGTTGTCTGAAAAGTGCTGTAATTTCCTTTATTTGGATGTTACCTCCAATTTTTAATCTTTCTACGTCTTCTCACTGGTTTTGGCATCTTGTTCTTTTACCATCATTCCATGAAGCCACCTGTTTTGTAGCATGACCAGATCTGCAGCAGTTTCTGTCTACGCTTGTGAAAGCTACCAAGTTCCAGGAGTTCAGGAGCTGGACTTCATGAAACAGCTTTCTAGGCTTTCTCCCTGCTTTTTGGATCAGGTCTGGTTTTTTAAACAGCATGCCTGATGAAAATGGTGGCTCCTATACTGAGTTTAAAGAAATGGTTTGAAAAAGGTACCAGTTAGGTTTTGGATATTTCAGGAGAGGCTTTTGACAGGTTTGTCTGTAAGGCTCCAGAGACTGAGGGGTGTTGGAACTTTCTACTAAACTGAAAGAAGTGCTGTGGAAAATGGGTTAAAAGATTTTCCCGCACATCTGAGTCTCTACTGCTGCTATGCTTAAATACTCATTCAACTGCAGTAATTCTTATGGTTTTGTATCTCAAAATAATATTTGCTTTTACGAGTGTCTTTAAAAACGTTTGTTGACTTTAACTTTTGTGAGCCACTCAGACAGCCCTTGTGTTGGATGGGAAGAAATAAATAAAAGTAGAAAGTGGTTGAATTGTTGAGTCTGAATCAGTTTTATTTTCTGGAGTATCTGTGCTGACTTACCAAGCAAGCAAGATCTAGAACCTGGAAAGCATTTTGATGTTTTGGAATCATTCTGTTTGAAATTTTATTAGCTAGGTTATGAGTGGAATTTTCAGGAGGGGGGATTATATAAGAATGGAAGTGTGGAGGAGCAGCTTGTCCCATTGGTTCTAGGAGGAGTCATCATGGGTTCTGATAGCCCTTTCAAGAAATGCAGTAAGAAGATATGGTGCCAGGATTCAACACAACTAATTTTCAATTAGCAAAGCTTGTGTGTTGCCTGAAGTGTCTGATCCTGCCTCATCTTGGAAACTAAGCAGGGTCAGGCATGGTTAGAACTCAGATGGGTGACTTGTTTGTATGAATCTATGATTACTATGATAAACCATTGAGAGAATTTTGGCTATGGGCAGCATAGAAATAATAATAGTTATCATCATCATCATTGTCATCATTATCATCATGACAGATCATAAAACCAAAGATTTGAACAGCTTCAGTTATGACATATACGTCTTGTATGAATTGACTATGGAGCAGAATGTTGCATCCATGTTTCTGCTGACTTGCAAAATACTCAGGTGGCTGTGTTACCTGGGCATGCTGGGAGTTGTAGTATTTTTTCTATGCAACCATGCATAGGATTGAATCTAAGAGTCAATGCTTGAGGTTGATAAAGTTCCGAAATGTAAGAAGTGTCAGTAGAAGTCTTCTGTCAAAATGTTAACATTCAGAGTCACCCAATAAAATGGGTTGGTAGTGGATTAGGGATGGGTGGATGTACACCTTCTTTCATAATTTGGTAGTGATTTCCTGTACCTTATCTGGCTTTTAAGTGGGGTAAAATAAATTTGTTCATGAGATGAACACCAGACTTTCCCCACTCAGTGATTTTGCTTTTCTTCTAGATATAATGTTCCATGCTACCTGCCATGGCTGGATTTTCAAGATGAAGCCTCTGTCTTCATGTCCTCCTCTTGCTTTCATTTCGGCTTTCTCCAAGTGCATGGCATGAAATGCATGTGCAACAGCATAGACAGCATTGTAGATACTGTAGCTGTGTCCAGACATGTCCATTTCAAAGGTAGCACTAGGAAGGCTGCCCAGCTTCTCCTTTCCAGTGCAGCTTTCTTCATAAAATTTATGTAGTGGGAATGAACAAGCAAATGCACTAAACCAGAATGCTTGGATATCAAAAATTGCAAACCAATATCAATTTTGCCAAATATCTGAGGGACAACACATCTTTAACAATCATGCATATCAGTTTGGCTGTAAAGGAAGGGAATTTTTAAAAAATCCAAATCTTTTAACCCTAAATCAGGGGTGCAGAAGAGTATTTGGGTGGGGACTTGGTATATTCCAGCCACACTCTCTGTGCTGGTTGAACAACTTCAACAGCCATGGCCATGCCCACTGATGTCATTGTCGCACCCATTTTAACTCTTCTCTGTTCTTCTCTCAGCACAGAGAAAGGGACTTGGCCAGCTGGGTTCCAAGCTACTCAGGGCACTCTGCAGTAAGATTAGGATAATACAAGGTTCCTCCCAGTTCCCAGAGTGTAAGGACTCCCTTGTGGAGGACTCAGGAACTTGGTCAGCTGGCTGTTGTCTTTGCATTCATACTGATAAAATTTACCTGTTGAATCATTTGCACAAGGACTTCAGTTGCACAAAGCCCATGTGCCTATTTCAGCAAATTTAGAACTTAGGTCAACTTGTTTGTCACTGATGAATACAGAGTTTGAAGGAAGTGCAGAAGCTGGAACTGAGCAGGGTATAGGAGACTATGCATACATCAAGAGAGATAATCAGTAAGATACAGAAAAGATTTATTAGCATTGTAACAAGTCTTAGGCTCTCATTCATAGTTTGGGTATACTCTGGACTCCAGGCTTCCTCTGCATGACCAGGTTCAACTGGTGTTCCAGAATACATTTGTGCAGCTAAGGCCAGCACTCAAGTTGTGCCCATTAATGGAGATGCCTGACCTCAAGATCATGACACATGTCTTAGATCAAACATGATGTTCTCCAGAAGTGCTGAAGTGTAATTCCCCAAACCTGCCTTCTATGCAACCTGTTTGGACTACTGTGATGTGGTCTGCATGGTGCTTCTTTTGAAAAGTGTTCAGAGCTTTAGCCTGTCTAAAGACAGCAAAAGACAGCCTATGAAGAAACCACATTGCTCTCTTTGCATCAGCTTCAGAGGCAATTTCTGCCCACAGCTCAATATGGCATTTATGGGCTGTACAGACCCACATGCTTTGTGAGCCCGCTATGAAGGATTGCATAAAGAGGTACCTGTCCAGGTTAAAAAGGAGTTTGTTGTGATGACATTAGTTCCCCTTTCCATTCTAAAGATACTTTTTCCTGACTAACTGGTCTCTGGTGTTCAGTTCAGGCCTCAGCATGATTATGTAGAGCTTAGGAATGAAGATGCAACCCAGTAAGCCAGCACCAGAGGCCAAGATGGAGAAGATCTCAACAGCCACCATGTACTTCCCTTTGGTGCTCAGGTGGGTGGGCACAAAGGACACCCACACACTGCAGAAGACCAACATGCTGAAGGTGATCAGTTTGGCTTCGTTGAAGGTATCAGGCAACTTCCTGGCAAGGAAAGCCACTGTGAAGCTGATGAGGGCCAGAAAACCCATGTAGCTCAGAACAAGGTAGAACATGAGGGCTGAGCCTTCATTACACTGAGCTATGATTGCATCCACCTGGGAATGCATGTCAAACTCTGGGAAGGGTGGAGAATTTGCCAGCCACACAACACAGATGACAGCTTGAATGAGAGAACACAGAATGATGACGGATGCAGCCAGTCTCTTCCCCACCCATTTCCTCATGCTGTTTCCAGGCTTAGTGGCCATGAAAGCCAACACCACTGTGATGGTCTTTGCTAACACACAGGACACAGCGATGGAGAAGATGATGCCAAAGATGGTTTGCCTCAGAAGGCAGGTCACTTTCCCAGGCCACCCAATGAACAAGAAGGAGCAGAGGAAGCAGAGCAGCAGGGAGGCAAGCAGGCCACATGTGATGCTCCAGTTATTGGCTTTGACAATGGGCGTGTTGTGGTGCCGAATGAAGCTTCCAATCACAAGAACTGCGGCCACTGAAAGAAAAAGAATTAATGCTGTCAGAGCTACTCCCATGGGCTCTGCATAAGACAGGAAAAGAACTTTTTTGGGAATACACTGGTCCTGGTTCTGGTTTGGATATTGATGCTCTGGGCACATCTCACAATGGTCTGCATCTGAAAGGAAGAAGCAAAATCTCAGGATTTGCAGAAAATACAAAAAGTTTTTCTTTAATCTAAACTTAGCACCCAAAAAAGATATGCCCCTTTGCCTAAAAAAAATAAATTAAAAATCAGTGATGCTTGGTCTCTTGGATGGGAGGGTGTTGGATGTCTTTCATGTAAAGATGCAATGGCACATATTCATGGTGAAGCAAAACTCACTGGATTTTCTTGGGTCTGAATTTAACTTTCTGGATTCTTTTCCAGCCAACTCTGGATTTCTTCACTTACCCATCTGAGTTGAAATTCTCCCTTGGGGGCACTCATGGCAATCGTAGCAACACACCTGCTTCCCCTGCTGGGCGACCATGCTCTGCCCAGGATGGCAACTCTCCACACAGGTGGACCTGGGCAGCATCTGATAGTTACCAAAAGGAAGGACAAGTTTGGAAATTGCTAAATGAATGTTTCAACTGTTTTCTGACTTTTTACCAAGGACAGATCTCAACTTACCAGGAAGTAAGCAAACCAATTGTGTTAATTATTCTTCATTAAAGACAATGGGAGCTCAAAGCTTCTAACCACAGTCACCCACACACGGATCTCATCAACAATAACCAGAATATGCTGACATGTCTCTCACCTGTTTCAAATATTTACTTCTGGTTAACTTTTGTTCTATTGACATGTCATTTTTAGCTTTCATATAGCCTGAAGTATCTGATCCTGCCTGGTCTTGAAAACTAAGCCAAGTCAAGACCTGGTTAGTATCTGGAAGGGAGACTTGAGTGTACGATTCTATATTACTGTTGTAAACCACTCAGAGAGCTTCAGCTACGTGAAGTATAGAAATGTAATAGTAGTAGTATTAGTAATATCTTTTGCTAACACTGCAAGACTGTTCCTCCTTTCTCTCTCTATGGCATTTCTCACCTTTTCCAAAGAAATAACAAAAAGAATTGGGAGCAGTGTTCACATATGGTCTATATCTTGGATTCCAAGGTCTTAGTATATCAGTTTAACCTGAGATGAATCAGTGATTATACTTATCAATAAAGTGGTACTTTTGTTAAGGACCATCAGAAGTTAGGCATGCTAAGGGATTATCAGAGGTGCTGGTAGTAAGGTTTCTAGCATCTATATATTGAAACAGTTTGACCCATCTGTTGGATACCTTCAAATGTAAGATATGAGTATTGATTTTTAAATACCCCAAGAAGGTCAGAATTAGATGTGATTGCTTGAGGGGAAACAGCAGTGAGTAGAGTGATCTTCAGGCTTCTGGATGTATCAAAGACATATGATCATTTAAATTTCCAGATCTGAAGTTGGGCTAAGATCCAACTGCAGAGCTGGGAATCTGTGACTGGAAACAATCCTGTCCTATTTGCATTTTTCATGGAAAGAATCTCAATTGCAACTTCAAAGTCATAACTGCAACTTCAGAGAAAGGGTGAAGAGGGTGTCCTGGGAGATGGGGAGGCGAGGAGACTGATTTTGCCAGGCTATGTTCATGCAGACAGACATTTAGCTAGGAAAATATCATTCCTATTCATATATGAGATGCTTGGGATGAGTCAGATAAATATTTGGCTGCATTGATAATTTCTGAGAAGACACTTGGATTCTATGGAAAGGAGTAAAGTAGAACTGCTAGAACAAAAATGCGCTGCTATCTCTGAGTCATGGGTGCATGAAAAGGGAAAGGGAAGCATTTCAGTTGCTTCCAGAAAATGCACGCAGAGATGCCTTCACCAGGGAATGATGGTTCACCAGGGAACTCATCTTTTATTGGACTCTGCTAGGAGAACACATGATAGGAGGTGGGAAGACTCAAGTTCCACTGGAGGGTGGAGTAGTCTTTCTTTTGTTCTGTATATTTTCTATGTAATTGTAATTAATATTTTTTTAAAAAATCATGAAAATGATGCTGGGATGATACAGACAATGACGGAAGTAAAAATAACATTTCCCACCTGATTAAACGTGGGATTCCACACAATGGCACTCCTATTAATAATGGTGAAGCCATCCTCTGTATTTCCTACAGGGCTTATCATTCCAACTTGAACCCTCTGGTATGATGCATTTGGGAAGGTGATCATGTTGATAAGATCATACCCCACTGCCAGTTCTCTGTTGTCATCAAAATATATTTCCTCTCCAGCAGTGTTATTGAAATGGAGGCATCTCAGAAAAGTGTGAAGCTGTATTGGAAGAGTTAAAAATGTTTACTATGTATTTAAAGTTAATTATTGGAAGTAATTATAAGCTTATGCTTGTCCTCAAATGCAGAAGGGTGTTCAGATAATGCAGAACAGATAATATTGTCTTTCTAGAATTTACCCAACAGTGACAATTTGGGTGCTTCCTGAAAAATATTGTATAGTGCAAGGTCCCTGCCTCATTTGCAGAATGTTATAGGAGTTTCTGGTGATGGCCCCTTCTGTAGGTATCTCCTCTCTAACGTCTTACCACCATTTTTTCTATCATTTTTCTTACCATCTCTTCCTGTGCTATGAAGAGGAATCTGAATTAAACAAATAGTTTACAAAAAGGAAAGGGGAATCTGAAGTAACCAAACAGTTTACAAAAAGGAAATGGGATTTTGCAAATGCCTGACTTCTATTTTTTGCAAATGGCCAAAAATGATCTATCCAACCTGAGATGGGGGGGGGAGGGAAATAAATAATCTGGGGGTGGTTTCTCATTAACTTATATCCTGCCTTTTTTCCTTCTTGCAAAGTTAGCTCAGATAGTTCTCCTCTACTCCTTTTTATCCTCACAATAACAAGTCTTGCAAGGTGGGTTAGGCTGGTCCAAAGTCACTCAGTGAGATTTATGGCCAAGTGAAGACTAGAACCAGGATCTCCCAGATGTCTGGTCCAACATTTTCAGCTCCACAGTGGTTCACTCTGCTATCCTGAGTCAGATCACTGACTTGGCCTTATTGTGTTTGTTTTTTATATACTTGTAACTGTAACAACCTGCCATGGCTGAATTTTCTGAAGGTTCCATCCATCCTCATCTCTCCTTGGTTTCTGTTTGGCTCTTGATAAATCCATGGCATGGAGAGCATAGGCAATGGCATAGACAGCATTGTATATATTGTAACTTTGGCCTGACATTCTCGTTTCAAAGGCTGATATTGGAAGGCTCCCCAATTTTTCCTCCCCTGTGCAAATTGCCTTGCTTGGTGCATAAAGGTTAAATTGTGGGAGAGAACAGTAAAATGCATTCATCCAGAACTGCTGAATGAAATGAATGCTTGACTGATATGGATTTAGGTTGTTGAGGAAATCCAGAAATCCAGGTAGCGCTTTTGTATGGAGACTGAATGACAAAGTGCCATTGAAGGATTTTCTGGGGAAGATGTACCCAGTGAAAACAGTAGTGTAATCCCATTCAGCTGTTGTTATCCACACCCACTCTACAGGAAGCAGACGAACAACTTCACTGATGCAGAAAAATATGTGTAAACCCACCAAGGATTGATTGTCCCCGTAGACAAGGATCACATTGAGTTCATTTAATAGGAGAGCGGAATAAACTGATTTCATTTTTTCAAACAGTATTTGACTTGGTAATAATGGCGTCACTATTGGGATCACTACTGTCCAAGCAATGCAAATTTTACTCTGCAGAAGCCTTGGTCTCATGGTCTGAAGAAAGGTTTCTCCACTGACATTATCTGAAACTATAAGGCCAATCCAGTTCCATCCAAAATGCCTCAGCAGGTGAACAATTCCAACTGACTGAGAATCTTCATTTGGGCCCATCCGGTAGAAAGAAGGGAAGTGAATTTTGTCCCTCAACATTGGATCAAAGGAACCATAGCTGAGCTAATGGGAAAAATAGAATGTTTAATGCAAGCAATCCAACCATCTCTTTTCAAACATAGACTCATTCAAAACATCTGTCCATTTTAAAATCTTGATCTCATGAAATAGGATCTTCTTGCAAGTGTTGCAGTTTTTCAACAGCACAAAGAAATGTACACTTCCTAGTAAACTTAGTTGATGCTTTCAATATTCAAATTATAATGCAATACTAAGCAGAGACTGTTTTTCTCAAGGCTTATGTTTCTGACTGGCATCATTCACAGCTTGGATTCCTAAGTTGCCATCTTAAAACAACTTATGCAAGTGTGTCCTGTTGACCTCATTGAGCATTGCTACTAGGAAAACCCTTTCAGAATAAATATTCTTGTTTTGTGACTCATCCTAGATTATGAAATAGTGTGGCCATTGGTATTTTAAAGGGCTGGTGCGAGAATTTTGCTCATAATAACGTGGCACACAAGTAGATGTAAAACTCTCATTATGGTTGCCTCAATCTAATTCTAAAGACATACCTGTGGTATCTTGTAGGTGTTTAAGACATTGGCCATGTGGATGGAGTTTTGGGAGGTGAGACCACCAATGACAGTGATTAACTTGGCTTCCCTGCCACAGCTGTAATTGGGAGGGTCCCCGTGTCCCGTAAAAAGAAGATCCTGAACATTTGAATAAGTTTGCCATGAATTAAAAGCATTCTTGTAAATCTTGGATCCCAGTGTAGTGTTGGGTAACAATTGACTGTTCTTGTTGATGTCATGAATGGCATGAATAAAGGCAAGGACATGCTGGTAGTTTTTATTGATTATGCTGCAATGAGATTGTCACATCATCATAGACAACATGACAACAGAGTCAATTACCTTTCAGCATGCATTGTGATTTCTGTATCTAAGTAAATTGGATGTAGCCACACATAGTCATAACAACATGGGTAGAATTATGTGAGTAGTACAGCCAAAGAGCATCAGTGTTGTTTAGTATCTAAGGTCAGCATGCAAGAAACCCAAATCAAATCCCTGTTCACCTGAGATGTTCACTCAGGGTTAGGGTTACACTTTTTGAAAAATGTGAAGAGGATGCCCTGTACATATTCTCATGTAAGACAGTCCCTGTTTTCCTAACCTACCATATTAAACTGATGTGAAAATATGATGTCCATCTGAGCTGTATGGAGGAAGTGCAGGACAGAAAGAAATGACTATAGTCAGAACCATTGGTGAAAGATTTGTACCCCTTCTATTCCCCTTAGGGACCGCAGGTGGTGCAATGGTTTAAACCGCTGTGCTGCTGTGCTGGTAGATCAAAAGGTTGTCGGTTTGAATCTGCACAACAGGGTGAGTTCCCGTTGCTCCGTCCCAGCTCCTGCCAACCTTGCAGTTCGAAAGCATGCAAATGCAAGTAGATAAAAAGGTACCACTTTGGTGGGCAGGTAACAGTGTTCCGTGTACTTCGGTGTTTAGTCATGCCAGCCACATTACCACGGAGACTGTCTGCAGACAAACGCTGTCTCCCTCTGCTAGGAAACAGAGATGAGCACCGCCCCCTAGAGTCAGGCATGACTGGACTTAACATCAAGGGGAAACCTTTACCTTTTATTCCCCTTATCCCTTGAGGGAGTCTGCAGTCCCATCACATCTTGCCTCCAGCTTCCATCTTGTACAGATGATTTTCTCAGGTTTTTCTTCCCCATCCAATCATCTTTACCCTAACCGTCTCTCCTTTCCCATTGGTGGTGCACACAAATGTATGATCAAGATTACTCTTAATACTTAGGGGAAGGAGGCATGATTGGGCTTTGACTTTCTTTGCCGTAGCAACAGTTGTGGTTGCCATAGCCACTTCTGAAGGCCAGGATCATCCAGATTGCCTCTGATCCTGTATGTATCAAATGGTTCTTGGAGTACTCTCAGTGAGCACTTAATGAATTATTCCAGGAGGTGTGGTATGAAAAGTGTAAGGCCCATGGTTGTTTTTTAAGTCATTATATTAAGAAATCATTAATGTCGGTGTGGGAAAAGTTAAAGACAAAACTGTATAATAAATTACCAAGATGACTTTCACCTATGGAAGCTCTCGTATATCCAAATGCATTGAATTTCAAAGCGATTGTAAGATATGACGACATTTTGGATAATGATGGAGGACTGAAATTGAATCAAGAAATACAAGAACAAGGATCTAATATCTCTTGGTGGGATAAGGTGCAGATACAATCAAGATATGCTAAAGACTATAGAATGTGGGGCTTTTATAAGGATTTAACAGCATTTGATCAGGTGATGCTTAAACCAGATGATAAAATGATTAAAAGATTATATAATTTCTTACTAGATAGGAGGATGGAAGATGAACAGGTTAAGGAAACTATAACATGGGCACAAAATTTTGGATATAATATTGAATTAGAAAAATGGCAAAAGCTGTGGGAGAGAAATATTAAGGTAACATTAACAACTTCATATAAAGAAAACTTGTATAAAATGTTTTATAGATGGTATTTGTTGCCAAATAGACTAGCCAAGATGTTTCCAAATATGTCAAATGTATGTTGGAAATGTAAACATAAATTGGGTACCTTCTATCATATGTGGTGGACTTGTGATAAAGCGAAAAAGTATTGGATTAAAATACGTAAATGGCTTGAGGAAATGTTACAAAAATCTTTAGCTTTTAAACCTGAAGTTTTCTTATTAGGCATTATACCTGATGATATTAGTAAACAAGAAATGTGCTTGACTTTACATGTAATTACTGCGGTGAGGATTGCATTTGCCCAACATTGGAAGAGTGAAGAGCCACCCACCGATGAAATGATCCTGAAAAAGATCTTGGGCTGTGCATAAATGGACAGATTGACTTTGTCACTGAAGGAGAAAGAAGATACTAACTTCTTTCAAACTTGGGACTCTTTTTATTATTGGCTAGAGAAACAGGACTTTGCATAGATTTAAATATGATCATAAGTTAACATAAAAAGAATGAATGTGGGGGGCTGACCCAGTAGGTCCGATGTTTCCGATGATTGATGTTTTTAGTTTTTCTTTGTATTAGCTTTATTTAGAATAAAACTTATTCAAAAAAAAAAAAAAATTCCTGGAGGGATGAAGTCCTGTCCCCTCCACCAAAAAAAAAAAAAAAAAAAAAAAAAAAGATCAACCCAAAAAAACCCAAAAACCCATTTTCAGTAACTGGGATCCCAAGATATTTTCATAAGAACCAAAGCTTATCTTGAGCTGCTGATTACTCTCTTGTTGACTTGCTGCAATGAGCAGAAACAATTCTGAATAGACACTACCAAGATTTACAGAGGAAAAGGCAGCAAGTAGGACTCATGATCAGAGGATATTCGGCATAGCTACTTAAATTTTTTAAAAAGAACTACTCACATAGCTTTTACCACAGAAGGATATGGGTGTTCTTTAAACTGCAGCACAGTAAAGTTGGCAAGTGTAATGGATACAAATACACCAACAACAATCTCATCTGGAGAACTGTAAGTCTGAGCTGTTCTCTTCCAACTACAAACCGAAGAGCTCAAACCCTTGCTGGGAGAAGGATACAGTAATAGCAGAAGCAAAGTCCAATGGTATGCTACTGAATGGGAAACCTTCATGATCTTTAGAGGCAACCACCAGTTGAATAAGTTCTGGAGAAGCTTGGATTGGCAAAGCTGTGCTTGCCTAAAAATCACCTCCTAGATTAATGTGGAGCAGGTTGTTTGGATAAGAGACTTTATAGACTCATTGCAGAATATCACACTTTGAATGTCTTGCTCTGCTTGGAGCATGTCATTGCACAGGGTCTGGTATGGGGCTTCTGAATACCCCTGTCAATTACAGCCATGTTAATATGCCAGTGCAGGCCACCTGCTTTCCCAAAGCCCTCATGTCTCAGAAGGAGTGAAGAAAACATGTCTCTGTGATTGCACTGTGGCCTGATCCTTCCTGGAATAATCCATCTCTCTGGAGAACTCTTGGAGAGTTGCCTTATCCTTCTGAAGAAATAAGGATGGATACAGTTCTGGTGTGAAGGAATCAGGTGATGGATGCTTAGGGGACCTACCTACCCAGATCAAAAGCCACCATTTACCAAGTTGTACAATTAGGATGGCACTGCCTACTCTTCCTTGGCATTCCCAAGATTCTCAATGGAGTGCCACTTGAAGGCACTTTAAATGGATCCTTCCTAGTTTTTGTGAACTCAAAACATGACCTGTGCTATTGAACTATGGCTCTCACACTGAGCTGGCCATTTTCGTAATAAATGCTACAAATCTCATCATTCCCAAACCAGCCATGCTAGGTGAGAAATTCAGGGAATTGAAAGAGTCCATCCTGTCCCCGCAACCCCCAAAATATTGAAATATGCATAGGATTGTGCCATTACAGAAATGTCACTTCACAGGATGCCAAACATGTGAGATATCCAGCTGAACACCATCCACTGTTCCATTTACTTTGACTAGCACATGTTTAGATAGCCAGTGTGGCATATTTGTTAGAATTAAAATCGGGTCTTGGGGATCCTGGTTCTAATCCCCAGTTGGCCATTAAGCTCACTGAGTGATTTTTGACCAGTCATATGGTCTCAATCTATTTAGCCTCACAGAGTTGTTGTAAGGATAGAGTGGAGGGTAATCTGCCTTGGATTCCTCACAAGGAGAAGATGTTGTCATGATAATACAGTTGGTATTTAGACATGGCTGGCTGTGGAATGCTGGAAGTTGTGGGGCCACTTTTCTATCTAAGCATGAATACAAGCACCCACAGCCTTGATTATTCATTATAATCATGTAACAAATACGAAAATGAATTCATAAATGCAGTCAAAAGTAAATATAAGCCCTTCCAAATGATTGCAGAGGAGGTAATGTGAAAAACTTGCAAATTGTAAAACTTTATGCTGAATAATAATTTTAATTGATGTATGCACACACTTTTTCTAAGTGAAGAGATTTGATTGACTTATTATTTCAATGAATTGATCTATATACCACTTTACATCTTTACAAAAGATCTCAAAGGGCTTCAGAAAATACAATAGCAAAACATAACAACATAATATACCCATCAATCCATAAAACCACAAAATATTCAGGGGTGGCTGGTGGTGTGATAACTCAGAGACAGCTAGGCAAGTAAATATCAAAACTCCGGACTATGAGTAATCCATCTGGACTGCCTTTGAGAAGTGTTCAAAAGGTTCAGTTGACCCAGAATGCTGCTCTGGAATTATGGGAAGTGTCTCCCGACTCTTGGTATCATAGCTTCACTGGCTACCTGTCTGTTTCATAAATTGCAACATGGTGTGGGACCAGACCAACTCCTTGGAAGGCTGCTTTCTCACATACAAAATGTCTCAAATTCTAATAGACTGCCATTCCTAGGGATAAAATCACTTCCCCACTCAACAGAAATCACTCTTCTTCCTAGATAACTGCTCTCTGGTGTTCAGATCAGGCCTCAGCAAGATAATGTACAACTTGGGAAGGAAGATGAAACCCAGTAAGCCAGCAGCTGAGGCCAATATGGAGAAGATCTCCACGGCCACCATGTATTTCCCCTTGGTGCTCAGGTAGGTGGGTACAAAGGACACCCACACACTGCAGAAGACCAACATGCTGAAGGTGATGAGCTTAGCTTCATTGAAGGTATCAGGCAACTTCCTGGCAAAGAAAGCCACTGTGAAGCTGATGAGGGCCAGAAAACCCATGTAGCTCAGGACAAGGTAGAACATGAGAGGTGAGCCTTCGTTGCATTGAATTATGATTGCACCAATTTCAGAGTGCATGTCAGGCTCCAGGAAGGGTGGAGAAGTTACCAGCCACACAACACAGATGACACTTTGAATGAGAGAACATAAACATATCACTGATACTGCCAATCCCTTCCCCACCCATTTCCTCATGCTGTTTCCAGGCTTAGTGGCCATGAAGGCCAGCACGACTGTGATGGTCTTTGCTAACACAGAAGCAACAGCGATGGAGAAGATGATGCCAAACATGGTTTGCCTGACAAGGCAAGTCAACTTCCCAGGTCTCCCAGTGAACAAGAAGGAGCAGAGGAAGCAGAGCAACAAGGACGAAAGCAGGATGCACGTGATGCTCCAGTTGTTGGCCTTGACGATGGGGGTGTCCCAGTGCAGGCTGAAGCTCCTCATCACAACAAGTGTGATCACACAGAAGGAAAGAACTAAGGATGTCAGAACTACTCCCAAGGGCTCCTCATAAGAGAGGTAGCTTATTATTTTGGGCATACACTGGTCCTGTTTCTTGTTTGGATACTGGTCTTCTGGACAAAACTCACACTGGTCTGCATCTGAAATTGAGAAACACACTGTCATTATTTGAATGTTGTGTAAATACTCAACTTGAATCTACTCTTGCAGCAAACAAAGTATATTTAACTCCTTTCTCACTCTCTGTCTCTCAACATCCATCATGGTTTCTCTCTTAGTTTGTCTTTTGTTTAAGGGAATGCATTCATTCAATTGTGTAAACACAAAACTGAAAGGAATTTCATCAGTCTGAATTTAAAATTGCTGGAATATTTTCCAGGTAAACTCTGGGTTCCTTCACTTACCCATCTGGGTTGAAATCCCCCCTTTGGGGCACTCATGGCAATTGTAGCAACACAACTGCTTCCCCTGCTGGACAACCATGCTCTGTCCAGGGTGGCAGCTCTCCACACAGGTGGACCTGGGCAGCATCTAATAATAACCAAAGGTTTAGGTTAATATTTGCAGTTACAAATGGGCTTCACAAAGGTCTAAAATGATTTTTGGCTTTTAGTTCTGGAGAGATTCCAGAGAAGAAAACACAAAGTGTGTATATCATGTCTACTTTGTTAAAGAATACGGTGTCCCATAGTGTCGAACTACAGAAATCCAAGCAACCAACTCAACAACAACAACAAGTCAGCCCAGTTCCTTGCCTCCCATTTTTGAATCTTCTCTCCTTGTTCAGCAGAACACCCTTGGCAATTATTTATTCATTGTGTATTTATTTTATTTCTATGCTGCCTAATAGCCAAAGCTCTCTCTAATCTTCACTGAAGAAATAGTTCAGGAAATAATTTAGGAACTTAAGCAAGTAGTTTGATTAATTAATATAGGCTATTGTAATTTTAAGTGTGTGTTTTAATTTGAGTTCAGATTTTGCATGGTAACATTTTAAATTTTGTTTTTAATGTTGCTTGTATTTTTCCATTGAATCTTGGTGGGCTGCAAATGTTTTCCAAAAATCATTCCGTACAAATGGTACTGTTACGACAAAGTAAACCTCATTTTAGTTTGCAGCAGGGACATGTAATACTGTTAAATTGCTGGTGGGCACCCATCACAATTTAGACTGTTTTCTGTCCTACATAAAAATAGGCACAGATCCCCCTCACAACCTCCTCTCCTATGGTAGCTTATTAAACAATTTCTCTGTGTATGACATGAAACTTTACCCTACCACCAAATAGACTTCTAATGATGGAATGCATTTTTTCTGCTTTGTTCTACATTTTGATCTTCCCTCACCTGGACTGGTTCCCAAGTCACTTCTGGACCAACTACAAAGAGCTATTTTCTCTCTAAGACTCCAAATGACTTGGAACTTTGGGATTTCATGGGTCATCTCTTCCCACATACCTACCCATACTGTAAGATCATTCTTAGAGCTTATAATGTAGCTTATCTTTTATACTTCGTAGTCATTTAGTTTTTGGAGATGGATTGACTCCATAAGGGAAGCTACAGCCTTGAATTCATAAGAGCTGAGCAGGGCTGTCAACAACAGAACATTCTGAGAGTGATCATTCATAGGGTCACCATAAGTCAGAAATGATTTAATGGCACATAACAACAAAATTAATTTATGAAGTATTGATGAATTTATTAATTTCATATTATAAGGTTTTTCTTTAAAAACTAGGAATTCATATTTTTATGTTTCCATTAATGTGTTTGCACAACTACAGGCATTTGTTTATGAACCCTTTAAATTTATTAAGGTAGGGCATCTCTGACATTCCGATAAGCTATCAAGAACCTGGAAACCATTATCTGAAAATTGATATTTTTGTTAACCTCCCAGACAGCCTCAGCTATTGGATGGAATAAAAATGAAATAAATCAATAAATACATAAAATGAAATAAAATATGCTTTTATAACTACAGTGTTGCTTCAGGTAATGATATCAATAACAATTGTCATTTCCACCTGGTTAAATTTAGGATTCCACACAATGGCACTTGCGTTAATGATAAACTCATTCTCTGGAAGAGTCTTTGGTTTCAGCCTTCCAACTTGGACTCTCTGAAATGATCCATTAGGGAAGGTGACCAGGTTGATGAGATCATACCCCCATGCCAGGTCCCTGTTGTCATCAAAATAAACTTTTTCTCCAGCACTATTGTTAAAGTGGATGCATCTCAGAAAAGAATGAAGCTGTATGGGAGGAGGAAAAAAGTTTACAAGGGACATTTAATTAATTAAAAGAATTAAAATGTCCTTTATCCTTGCACATCTGATGGTGGAAATGGGTTATGTAATTTCTCTGCAGTTTGCAAAACTACAACATTTAGGATGAAACTTTTGTCATGCAACTATGCTGTCTCATTCACAGACTTTCATAGTTTGTCTAGACCTTTCCATTTGTTTGTTGCTTTCCCTTTATAACCCTGCAAATTGTCTTTGATTAGTAGCACTAGGAGACCTCAATTTGGAAGAGTCATCAGATACTCAACACTTACAGTATTTCCCAAAGTATCCATTCCCCCAGACCCTGCCCCTAGTACAGAAATCATGCCCAGAGGATGAGATAGAACTCCCAGCATGCACCACAAAATGCCCTAAATCAGAAAAGCCTGTGCCATGGGGGTTAGGGTTAGGGTTAGCATTAGGGATCAGTCCCTACAAACTCTTTGGAGAATGAGTGCTTCTTCATTGGGAAAGGAAGATTCCCTTGAGCAAGACCCACATGAATAGGAATTTTGCCAAAGGGGTATAATGAACTGCAGCTGAGTTCTATTGGAGCTCAGGAAGCTCTGGCTATCAGTGTCTTTGGTTTCAATCAAGCCAGTAATGGAACAACATTGTTCGACTAGCTCCAAATGTCTGTTGTGATTGACCTCTGGGTCAATCCATGTTACAAACCCTTGGATTCCTGCTGAACTTGCTTCTTGGACTGTGTAATGTGTTTGAAAGCTTATCTGTGCCTTGACATCAGCTGCACCTCAGAACTCTTTTCTGGAAACTACCTACATCCTGGTGATACAGTGATTGACCATTTCCCTCCTTGAAGGACTTGTCTTTTGGATTTATCCATGTAATTGCTTAGCATAGAGATGTACCCACTCTTAGTAGGGAAAGGATGAAAGAGCTTGTGCTTGCTAAATGTTCAAAATGGTTGCATCCCACCTGAGAAATTCATAAATGAAATAAATATTCTGGTGGTGGAATGTTGCTATGACTTCACCATGAATCCATTAAATATGAGTTTGTAATGTGTTTTCCTCCTTTTGTGCATTTTAAAATACATGTAGCTTTCTGATATTTTAAATGTCTCCACGTTATTTTATGGAAGTTTATGATTTGAGGGTAGCTTCACCTACCAGCCATGGTTGAACTTTCTGGAAGTCCCATTTGTCCCCATCTCCTCTCAATGTCTGTTTGACTTTGGCTAATTCCATGGCCTGAAGAGCATGTGCAACAGCATAGACGGCATTGTAGCTACTATAGCTTTGGCCAGACATTTCCATTTCAAAAATTGATCCAGGAAGGCTCTCAAGTTTCTCTTCCCCTGTGCAGTTTTTCTTCCTTGGCATATATAAGTTATACTGTGGGAGTGAACAACGGAAGGCTGAAACCCAGTAATGTTGAATCAAATGCACTGTTGAATGATATGGATTTATGCTCTTGACAAAGTCCAGAAATCCTGGCACTGCAGTTGTATGGAGATTGAATGACAAGGTGCCATTGAAGGATTGAGCAGTGAATTTGTACCCTGCTGATATAGCAGAATAATCCCATTCAGCTGTTGTGATCCATACCCGCTGAATGGGACTATTAAAATCAATTTCATTGTAGTATAAAACTATTTTTAAACCTTCCAGAGATTGATGGTCTCCATAGACAAGAATTACATTGATTTTGCTCAATAAGAGAGTCTTTTCAATTGGTCTCAATATTTGTTCAAGTGTTTCAACTGGCATGAATCCTGTCACGATAGGAACCACCCTCACCCAAGCCAGACAAATAGCATTCTGCAAAAGCCTTGGTCTCAGGGTTCGAAGGAAGGTTTCTCCACTGTCATCGTCTGAAACAATGAAACCAACCCAGTTCCAGTTAAAGTGCTTGAGGAGTTTGACGATCCCAGCAGACTGAGGATCTTCATTTGGGACCATTCGGTAAAAAGAAGGGAACCGAGTTTTGTCTCTCAGCACTGGATCAAAGGCGCCATAGCTGAGCTAAGGGGAAAGGTACAATAATGTTTAAACTAAGATAACCAACTCTTTCTTCTCAATTATAAACTGACCATATACCAGAAATGGAGAAGTTCATTGTGTTTGCACTTGAATAGCTCTATGTGTAATTTTTGCACTTGGAATAACTATGTGCATCAAAACTAAGTCATCCTATGAAATTTGCACTTTCCCAAACATTGGAATAAAGTTTACCAATCAAAATTCCACATATCAGTGAAAATGCATTATAAGAAATTTGCTTGCAAATGTCATGTTTATTAGCCAGAATTGTATGCAAAAATGCATGTATTAAGAGGAAATTAAGCAGAGACATATATGATTTTTAATGAAAACAATAGAAAAAATGCAAAAAAAGATGGAGAAAATCCTCAAAATTCAGGGTGAACTGAAAGCAAATATGAAATATAATTTATTCATTACATTTGAGATTTAATGGACAGGTTCAGTCGTTCTTGATATATACAAACACCAAAATCTAGATCTCATTTAATAGCATCTTTTGGGAAATGCTTCCTTTTTTTTTTTTTTATCCCAACCTTGCATTTTCAAATAAAATTCCTTAATACTATCAATATTTAACTTATACGTATTATGTTGCAAAGCCTTACATTTCCAGTTCCCAGTGGGCACAATTCACAACTCAGATTCTGGAGCTGCAATAACAACAGACATGAGACTAAGCCCAGTTGAACCCAAAGGGCTTCCTATCAAATATCTGTATCTCTACCTATATCTGCACACAGGGATTTATATAGGTCTGGTTCACATGACACAAGGCATCTTAATTTGTTCTGGTGATAATTAGCCTTTATTAGCCAGAGTGATGAGGGGGGACACATGTAACTGCCATTTTGAATATGTAACCTGTGGTTGGGTGATTGGGGGTTATAGCAGGCCATTTAACCCTGGTCATTGTGGGTTAATCAAAGGTTAAGTTACCCACACTTAATCCTCACTTAATACTTGCTTTAAGCATCAATTGCCCTGCTCAGAGGCCTCATGTTTTAACTGGAGGCTGCACGTGTCCCACTTTTGCCATGGCTAACTTTGTCTTAATTACTCCGTGATAGACTGCTGAATCATGCCAATCTGCTATGGCATGGCGCTTTCTTTTGTTTTCAGAAATTGACAGTGCAGACAATTATGATCTCATAGTGTGGGATACAAGATAGTGTCCCACATCAAA